GACAGAAATGGATAATACGCGAAATCTGGGCGTCATTGCAGATATGCAGTGCGGGTACGTTTTGTGGCACCCGTGCTGCCTTGGATGTGCAAAGTGCTAACACATGCGTTCAGAGGCTGGTCGACAACACTTCTCACCTCCAAGGGCTCTTTGCATACTGCAGGAGTCCTTGATGGCCAAAGAATCTCCTACGGCACCGGCCCCCTCCACGCCCTCAGTTTTCCAGAAGGTTACCCAACCAATGCTACCCAAGCTCAATACGAAGAGCCGACAGTCGCCATTCGCCAATTCTCCTCAGGTCGAGCACATATACTCGCGCTTTCAGATAGTGGAAGGCTATGGTCGTGGTTTGACACAAGAGAGCCCGCTCTGCAAGTCAAGTTTGCCACCCTGCAAATCAACGAGCTCTCCTTGCGTGGGACGTCGAGCACCGAATCTACTTTCGGACAGATTAAACAAATAGTAGCAGGGTGGAGCCGAAGTTCGGCCCTGGTGAATGGCGTTGGCATAGTCGTATGGGATCCAGTTGAAAGAGATCATGGTGACGAGGGTACAGACACCATGCTCGTTATGGAACATACAGAAGTCCCGAAGACTGGCTATCAGCGTCTCAAAGGTGCCCGCGAAAGTGATGAGCAGAGAGAATTAAGTGAAGAGGTGGGAGCAGTGACGAATTACATCATGTTGGAGCACTTTGTCGTGTTTACCACGGACTTGGGCAAAGTGTTTTGCGGAAGATTTGGAGAAAAGAACGAGATAGACAGGGTCGTTGAGCTACATCAACTGCGTCATGAGAAAGGCACTCCTATCGATGTCCAAGGTTCTTTCCGCAGCTTCGCTATTTTCAAGAACGGTGAGGTAATAATCAGCGATCAGAACTACCTCGAATCATGCATACATCATCTACACGAGAATCCAGAGCAAAAAGACCTCCCAGGATTGAAAAAGATACCTGCTCTGCAGCACAACGATGTTATCTCGGTCGCTTTTGGCGATTATCACTACCTTGCACTCCACGCAAATGGCAAGATTACATCCTATGGCATGGAGAATGCAGCCTGTGGAGCGCTGGGCCTGGGCTCAAACGATAACAATGTAGTCGGAAAAGCCCGCGGTATTGCGTACGACAGATTCAATGCCAATGGGCGCTTGTTGCCGCATGCCTACACATCCGGTCGCCAGGTCTGGTTCGACGCAAGGAAGAATGAATGGCTTGCGCAAACTGTGCATGATGATGCACACGCTCAAGAAAGCAATGAACGCAGACAAATGTGGGCTGACGATGCCAACGTACAAGGGGAAGTCAGTGAGTGGTTCGAACAAGAAGCCAGAGCCTGGGATCAAGATGGCGGCGAAGATGGCCTCGGCGCGCATTTCGTTCTGCGGGTCAGTGCTGCAGGCTGGCACTCCGGTGCTCTAGTCCTAGTCAATGAGGAGTTGGCACAAAAAGAGCCTGCCTATAACCGCGAGGCGAGACCATTCCCAAGACTCAGACTTTCTGATGGCAGAGAAATGCCAGGAGAAAAAGAATTTGATGAATGGAGGGAAGGACAACCGATCTTTCAGCTCGATGCTCAGTTTTGAGCGTTTTGTAGGAGCCCTGACAAAGTATCAAGGTCGGTTGTCATGTTGGCATACTCTTCTGCGCCCAGAAAAGGTTGTTATGTGATAGTCTTGATTCATCTCTTAAGGGCCTCCTAGTCATGCGCTACAGGCAACAACATTGCGCCTGGTGTCATGTGTTTTCCCGGAAATATTTCGGGCACTTCCTAAGCACAATGTGTACTCTCATTCCGTGAACCCATGGATACCACACATTAAGAAACTAAGAAAATATTCCAATGTCTCAGTTTCCCTCCCACATCGATGAGGCACTAATGACCAGGACTTACAAGTTATACACACATACAATAAAGATATAACAGTAAAAAATGCGCAGCACTTTCGCGAAGCGAAGAGAGATGAGGCTGCGATACGAGACGTGGGCGGGGTATTCTTGCTCAGCCACTTTGCATGTTAAAGCCGAATCCCATAAGTCCCTCAGGCAACATCGCGCCATGTTCACTGCTATACTTGCGCCTCAACAAAGTCTATTACTGCGTCTCCCGACATGGTTTCCACGGCTCCCAAAGAATTATGCACAACATGCAAGGGCATACTAGATATAATACGGGTAGCTGGATGGTACAAAAATCTTGCATATCACCAATCACTCTCATCTTTGAGAAGTTCAGCTGAAACCGCTTGCTGTATATGTGCGCTTGTGTTTAGTCGAGTATATAACAGGGACTCAGACTCTTCTGATCCTCCGGAAACGTTATTTCCCATTGATTGCGAATCAGACACATCGTCAGCAAGCTGGCAACACTCATTCGAATTGATCTTGCAATCACAGACCGCGACGAGCTTCAGACTGCGGTTTTACTTTGAAACTATTGAGGACCTTCAAGGTGAGTCGAATAGATCTTCTGTTTTCTGTACAAACCAATGCTGATCTTTTCTCAAAGGTGGCTATGTCCATTACGAGCCTTCAGTATCTACAGACTCTCCACAGACTTGGGATCTGATTGAACATTGGGTCAGAAATTGTACCCAGAACCACACACGATGCAATGCTTCTCTCCCGGAGCAATGGGCACCCACGCGATTGCTTGATGTCGGCACCTTTGAAAAAGACGTTGTTCGGTTGGTAAATGGAAAGGATGCTTCTCGGCCCAAACAAAACTACGCCACACTCTCTCACTGCTGGGGTATAACTGTACAACTACCTCGAACAACCATGCACAATATCGAGGAATTCCAGCAGCTCATTCCATATCAACAATTTCCGAAAACGTTCCGAGATGCAGTCAAGATCGCCCGAAAGTTCCACTTGCGATATCTTTGGATCGATTCTTTATGCATAATTCAAGACGATGGCGATGACTGGATGCGTGAAGCTGCTTCCATGAGCAATATATACCGGTATTCCTTCATTAACATAGCCGCCACAGGCGCGAGCGACAGTTCTCAGGGATGCTTTTGGGAGAGAAATCCTCAGCAGGTAGTACCGACGGAACTTGATATTTGTTGGTCGAATCACCGAGGAAGGAAAACCAGGTACCTCATTGTACCGGAACCTAGCCTCTGGGCTAGAAAGCTTACGGAAGAGCCACTGAACAGACGCGCATGGGTACTACAAGAACGAATCCTTTCACCTCGTGTTTTACATTTTGGGCATGAGCAGGTTTTTTGGGAATGCCGAGAGATATCCGCATGTGAAACCTACTATAACAGACTTCCTGCTGTTTTGTGTGGAGATTCACTCATCGGTATTAAGAAACTACAGCTTGGAGATGAGACCAAGGATGAACGCTGGCCCGCAAAGTATATCTCAGAAGCCCCAAAACATGAAACGATGATGAAAAGAATACGGAATAGCCTCATGAAAATGTTTCGACCTATCATCAACCAAGAAGTCACCCTCTACGCCCAAATGAAGAGCTCATCAGCATTTCGGGATTGGGATGCAGTGGTGGAATTGTACTCAATGTCAAGTCTCACCTACTCCAAGGACAAGCTCATAGCACTGGCTGGTATTGCAAGTAGCATATCAATTTCCAGTTCAGGCGAACCTGCAGACGGATATCTTGCAGGCATGTGGCAATCGTCACTGCCGGTGTATCTTTTATGGAAGCCCAGGATAACTGAGACCCCTCAGGGAGGGTACTCATATAAATGGCTAGGCTATCCGAAAAGGTACGAAGAATACATAGCTCCGACATGGTCCTGGGCCTCCATCCAAGGGAAAATATCGTTTGCGTGGTGCCAGCATAACTACGATTCGAACGACTACCTGGTAACACTTGAAGGAGCAAGCGTTTCTTATGATAGTGTCTATCGCTTTGGTAGGGTTAATTCTGGATATGTAAGACTCGTTGGACCAGTCACGTCAATTCTCTGGATTACTGAGAACCCTTTTCCTTCCGCCAAACCCAAGACCGCAAGGATCACGCATGTCTTTCCACAGCACTTGAATCGCAGCGATTCTGTCTCCGTCACTCCAGACTCTGACACTGAACAAGAGATTTTCTTTGATACAGCCATGGAGAAAATACCAGAGCAGCTCACATTGTTGCCTATTATAGGAATTACCAAGAGGACGGCACATGAGAATGAAGCAGTCATTGGCCTAGTGCTGGGCTCATCAGCCGAAAAAAACAGGTTTCAACGTATCGGTTTCTTCTACACTACAAGGGCGCAAGTTAGGAGAATCCTTACGAACATGCCACGAAAGCCTGTTATGATAGTCTGAAAACAAGGCGCGTAGCATCATAATGGGTTCTAATTTAAATGTTCGAAAGCGGCAATGGGTCCTCCAACAGTCTGATTGTCTATCATCTGCCACCAGAAGATTACTCCAGCCCCTTACCGAGAGTCTAGCCGGCATCCTCGCCATTGACCTAATGCGCACATATCGAGGTGTTTGTGCGCGAGGCGAATCACGTGCTGGTGTGGCGTCGGGATCGCCGTGGAGAAGCACACTACGTACGTCTGAGTTTCAGGCGGACTAATATCAACGACAAGGTTGCCTAGATGAGCCAGGCTGTGTACTTGCCATGACCACGAATCACGGTATTTACCGATATAGTACATGGAGTTTCTGCTGTTGAATTGACTGTGGACTAGCTAGAGGGAGATCTTTCGCCTCATGACAGCATCGCCGACACAAACTGCACCTGTTCTGCGAGCAGGGTTCCAGATGCATGCACACTTGTACAAAGGCGTGCATATCATGTGTGTGGCATGAGTGGCTGCTATACTCGGATTGAGACATGGCTGTTACATTTTCAACACTCCGTGGTTCAACATGACCGAATTCCGGTGGGTGGCTTTCGAAAAGCAAGCAACAAGGACATGAAGAAGTGTACGGCGCAGATTACTGAACAAATGAGAAATGTCTACGTGCAAATCTAGCTGACCGCGTAGCACGTTCCGAACAGTCTAGTTGTGAATGCCAGCTAGCCTTTGCACAAGACCGCTCGAGGTCCATGCTGGCCAGCTACTAAAATCTGTAAGTATGCGATCAAGATGAGGATCGATACCCCAGCGAAATACAAGGCATCGAAGATCGCGAACGCTTTGACAAATTGTGGCAGCATTTGTACAGCATGAGTACACGAGGAGTTAACCACATTGAGATACACATTGACGCCCAAAGAACTAGAATCGGTGAGAGTAGAGTTGCGGAAGCCATGGAGGCCGGAGTCGCTAACAGTTACCATTCACATGGTAGAGGCAATCATTTGCTGCACGAAATCGCTGTAAACAAGCCCACATGGAGCGGAAATGGCGGCTGTTTCGACGAAGCGATTGGTGTAAGTATATACACGGGCGTCAAGCTGCAGTCTGATAACCAGTTTTACCTGTTTGTCGGTGGGTAGGGTATGGCCGACATGGGTGCGGGTTGCCTTTCGGTTGGCGTCTGCACACAAGCTGAAACCCATTCATCACGGGACATGTTTGCCTTGGCAGCACCACACCCCCTTTGCATTTGTGCCTCGATGATTACGCCACAGTGCACCAGTAGCGGCGCCAAATCGCACACGAAGGATGTGGTCGAATGCGTTCCGCGCCAGCTCGCCGTTGTTCCCTAGCGCAGAGATGCGATTCGGGTTACCCCTGCCAATCCGGCGGAATGCCGTGCGGCCAGCGCCACAACGAACGCCACCATCGCGCACTCGAGCTGAACAAGGAGCTGCCAAGCTGCAAGTACGAGTGGTTGACATGCTGAGACCGCCCACCACCCTAAGCCGATCCCCTGGAAGCATCTGTCATGTTGCGCCTGCCGCCGGCAAGATACAGCTGAGATGGACCATGTCTGATACCTTTTACTCGATTCGCCATCTATCCAGGCTTTCGCTTCATCCTAGCGTGTGGCACTTTGCCAGTGCCACCAGATCGCGGCGAGCTAGCATCTCGAAATCATCATGTTTCAGTGTCACCTGGGCTTGCTGATGTCGCCGTCAAAGGTAAATAAGTAATTCACAGTGGCATCGTTGTCGAGAGAAGCGAAATGCAGGAACAATAATACCCGTGTCTTTTGCATCATCACATCAGCTTCTTCTGGTCCCGCCCCATATACCACTTTTATTGATAACATCCAGGGCCCCGGTGCAAGTGGTACAGGAACGGACTGGAGCCTTTTGCCCACGAGTCTTGTAAAAAACTCGATCTCGATACTATTGACCAGAGGCTTCGTGTCCTAGTGCTTATGCTAACGAGTTGCCCCATCCCTTTTTCTGAGGTATGTCATATGAAAAGGCTGCCTTGCTGCTGTCCAGTCTACTGACCAAAGTAATCTAGAACTATCCTGGCCTGCAGCATCTCTATATTTGTTAATTCGTCAGTTGCTTAGAAGGACTGTGCCAAGGCCTATATCTGTCGCACCGTCGTCATCACTGTTCCGATGCCTCCACTTCCTATATCTACTGGAGTTGGCTGCTTGCATGGCTGGCGCACAGCTGTCGAGTCACAGACTCTTTTTAGCACTGTTTTGCTGGTTTCCTTGTTTGCAATCACCCTGCGATCAATCGCACGTATTCTGGGAAGAAGAAGAAAAAGCGTGTTGCGTTTTGATGAGAAGATGGAGGACTCAGGCATGGGCCAAGAGCGATTGGCTGTCAAAAAACGAAAAGATTCGTCGCAGGGTGGAGAGATGGATGTGTCTGCGAGAAAGCAGGTGCATCCAGATACCGACTCGAAAGAGAACACCGACTCGGAAGCACAAAGACACGACACCGCCCATCAGTCATCACTGGAACCAAATCAAAACGAATACCTTGAATCCCTCAAGCAGGAAACTTTGGAACCATCTCGTTCACCCATATACCCATGGATAGCACCGCCCCAGAGTCTTCCCGGACCATACGACGCACCATACTTTCCAGTTCCCTTGCCAACAATCGCAGTTGCAGAAACTACAGAAGAGGGCATGAAAACGGAAGCGCCTAGAGACAAACGGCCCGAAGAACTCGAGACTATTCTCTATTCACGCCGCATCCCCACAAATATCAGCCCAGAAAACGACACTATCCGCGAAGGCGTCGTTACTGTCTCGACAAGAGGTTGGCGGCGCAACCAATGGACCATCAATGCCGGATGATGTCGTTTTTTTCTTATTCCTCTTCTTTTATCCCGCAAAAGTCCGTATACCGCCCTATTAACCGCGCGGCTGAAAAGGCGAAAAACAAGAAGAAAAAATGAAACTTCTAAAAGCGTGTAATCGACAATACCATCTCAAGAGTTGATGCTTCGAGAGAAGAGAAAGAGCAGAAACACCACGCAACCGCTTCATTTCCCGCCTGCTTCTCTTGCCCTTCTTCCTCATTTACCTCCGACCTCACCTCATCCTTTCCTCTACCTGCTTCTACATCCCCACTCCCATCTCCCCTCTCTTCTCCCTCACGTCCCACCGCACGCCCAGCCTCCCCCGAAAAAACCCGGGATCCAATCTCTCACCCCCCCGAACCCCCAAACAGCCGCAGCCAAGAAAAGAAAGCAAGTAGTATATTGGCACTTGTGCTTGCTTCGCTGTCACGCCCAGCTATCGCGAGAGAGAGAGCCGCGTGACCACAAAGCTTGCAGCAAAATCACCCACTCAACGGCGTGAACCGCATACGGGCTACCACCCTGTCGATTTCCAGCCAGAGGCGTGCGCTAGCGCCGCGTGGTGGCGTGCGTGCTTGCTAGCTGAATGCGAAGGGAAAACAAGGTGACCGGGGAGGGGTCTTGGGGACGAGGGGGGAATGCCGGTGCAGGCTTCAGGTAGGGGAATATAGGATTTGTGGGGCGTTGGTTGGGCTTTTTTTGGGGGGGGAGGGATGGGGAGAGAGTATAGGGTACATGGGGGAGGTAACATGCAAGATATTTTGTTGCGAGGGGTTGGGGGAGGGTGTTGGGGGGTCTGCGGTGTTTGGAAGCAAGCGGTTAGGGTATTGTATGGCGGAATTAAGGGTACCGTTGAGCAAATTGGATTTTTTTGAAGTACTTACATATATATTTTTTCGATGATAGATGGAGAATAGAGTCATCATTCATTCATATAGAGCAAGACATGTTCCATACAACTTTCCATGTCCGTGCATATCTCTCTCTCCTCCTCTTTTCCTCTCCACACCTTTTTCACTCAAACAACAATTCATTCAAACTAAAAAAGAAAAACTTTCAGCCCTCCCTCACTAAATCGCATAACCTAAACTCTAAACCTTTCTCTCCTCCTCCCAAAAGTCCTAAAAAGGGTTTAAACAAATGTTGCGCGATCAAAATTCCTCTCTCCATGGGAAATCCCGAAACGCATTCTCAGCTCTTAGGGGCATTCCGCGGAGACACGAGAATTAGTAGGTGGGGGAGGGCTTGCGCTGAAAACAAGATCCATGGCATCAGGTAATATGCATTTTCGCTTGTTTTTTTCTCGTTCCTCTAGAAAGCCGCCGGATTTGGGGGGGGGAAGAGGGGTTCTAGATTGCAAAAGATGTGGGGTTTGAAACTTATTAGTAGCTGTGGAGTCAGGTAAGTTAGTTTTAGCTGGAGTACGAAAGTATTGTTGTCTGTGTGTTTCTATCTGATAAGGACTAGTTTTTATCTTAGTAATAAATGGTCTTGATACCAGTATCCACACATGATATTGCTTCCAAGAATAGAAAGAAGATATGGTTTCAAGGTCAGGAATCCAAACCGCATATTCACATGATTTATTTCTTTAGAGAGGGGGGGGGGGGGTGTTAAATTCGAGTCAGTTTACTTGGGTATCTTTGGCCCAAAAACAATCGTAAAAAGAGAAAACTAAACGCCGATTACTATCCGACCATGGTCGTTACTTCCCGCCTCCAGATTCAAAAGTTTAATACTTATCCTTCCATACATATTTCTCACTAGCAGTATACCAGCGGATCAAGCTTCTTGCGCCAACCTCGTCACCCGTGCGAAACAACTGCGCGACATCGACGTTGAGCGGGCTGTCTGGCTCAGCGCTGGTAAGCAGCTGGTGGATACTAGTCATAGTCGTAGAGATAGTATAGGCGGGGGTCCAAGAAGTCTTGAGGAGATCGAGGCAGATTTCCCCAGTTTTGAAGTCGACATTGGGGTGGCAAATGGGGGTTATGAAGCGGACGGTGGGGGGTGCGAGGGGGTAGGTTGAGGGGATGGAGATGGAGAGGAGCCAGCAGCCGTCTGTTTAGGTGTGTGTGTTAGTAGCGTGAAGAGCGGGTGAAAGAGGTGACTGCATGTACCTTCGTATGCGGTTCCTGGCACGCCTTTCATGACGGCGCGCCATTGCATGACGTCGTCGTCGGTGGGCCCCAGGTCGTAGAGGACATCGTTCTTGTTGGATTGGTATGTTTGCAGCTCCGTCATCAGCCGCTTGATAGGCGAGGCATTGCGCGAAGAACCGGCCATGATGTGGGTTTCACTCTGCGATTGGCACGCAAACCAGACTGGTGGTACGAGGTGGATAGTTGTGCGGGGAGTTTGTACAGAGGGAGCGCCGAGGGTGAGATGGCGGTGAAAGGCGAGCGAGGAGGCTGGCTGGCCAATACGTCCCAGGCGCAATGGGCTGGCTGGCTGGCTGGGTTGGCCGCGGTGATGCTGGCTGGCACCTCGGTCGCATAGAGCTCATGTGCGCTCCGCGACCAAAGCTTATCTCCCCACCAAAACTTTTGGACATGGGCGCCACCAACCCATGACGACGCCGACACGCGCAAACAATACAAAAATACATCCAGCCATGGTTGTCCCGACAGTTACCCTCACCCACTTGAATCGCGCCGATGGCTCAGCGACATATACACACAATGGGTACTCCATCATCGGCGCCGTCAATGGACCAATCGAGGTGCAGCGGCGCGATGAGTTGCCAGAAGAAGCCGCCATTGAAGTCAACCTGAGGCCAGCCGCGGGCGTAGGAAGTGCGTAACGGTACCCGATAGTAGAATGTCAAAGATAGCTCGGGGCTGACAATAATACGCTGAAAGGCCCAAGAGAGCGACACCTCGAAACCCTCGTTCACAACACGCTACGCAGCATTATTCTGACGCAATCGATACCACGGACGCTGGTTCAAATTACCCTGCAAGTGAGGAGCTTGCCCGAGGAAGATAGCACCGCAGGTGTCAATACGGTTCGTCTGCAGTCCACTGTTCGTAGCCACGGCCAAGATCGCTGACAATTCTCCCAAGTCTCTTTCTCTCCTCCCCCACCTCCTCCATACCGCGCTTCTCGCCCTTCTCTCTGCCTCGATACCTCTATCCACAACACTCACATCTGTAATCGTTGCGCAACCTGCCTCACCTTCTTCAGCACTTCTATCGCCAACCGCCAACCAGCTCTTGCGCGCGAAACCCATACGCGCAGTCCATGTCTTCGCTTTTTCGGGCAAGAGGAAGATGTTGCTGAGTGAGAGTGAAGGATCCTTTAGTTATGAAGATTGGAACGAAGCCTGTCAAATGGCTGAGGAAGCGTGTTGCGGCGAGGACGACAGCGAAGACCAAGGCGGCATCAAATTGGACGTTGAGGGCGATGCAATGGAAATCGACGCGCAGGCTGAAGCAGAGAGCTTAGACAAGTGGCTGAGGAGTGTGGTGAAGAGAAAAGTGGAGCACGAGCAGCGGTGGAGGAGCGCGACTTGAAGAGTGGATGTTTTCAGACCAACGCAAACAGCGGGGAAGCTCTCTCTAAGAAGCCCAAAAGCTTCAAGTCACATCTGACAAGCTCACCTTCTTGATGTCGGTATGCGCAGAAAACACTGCCTCCGGATTTCCCTCAGAAAAACAAGGCCATTGCTTAAGTCGCGTACCCTTGGTGCCGCAGCCATGTATTGCTTGGTCGTCGAACAAGAGACAACTCTTGTCCAGAACCACAAACATGTCCACTTGCTAGATAAGTGAGATCCGAATACAACAACGAAGGTGCACAAGAGGCAAAATCTACTTGGCCTCTTATGTATTTCTGAAGACCAATAGTATCCAATCATTGTGGGTCAAGTTCAAAAAGTATCATTTCCTCAATTGATAAACTATGTGCATGAGATGCGATCCAAATGCGATGTAGTAATCCAATATCTTTTTGCGATGGAAAAAAGAAAACAATAGTTAATCAATGCTACCTTATAACGAGAAAACATAACGTCGTAAGAAATGGTATATGCGCGATAAACGTATGATAACGGTTTGTGGCCCACAATACCTTGAACAAGCTGTCGTATAAAGATGCGTCGTTTTTTTTTCATGAATGTCGTTGAACTTGGTCCAGTGATGAGAGTGACCGTGGTGGAATCCAAATCCCTTGTTTCCCCAACGCTATGCAAAAAGAAAAATCCAGAGAGAGAAAGGAAAGGCCCAATTCCAGAGTAGAAAGGAGAAAAAGAAAGAAAGCCAAGTCGTGTCCTGTCAGACAGCATCAAACATCTTGTGCTCACCGTTTGCTTGGTCCTCCATTAAACGTGTCAAGGATCCATGAGGGTCCCACACAGGCACTTCCCACATGATTTCGCCTTTGGATATCTCTTTATCGTCCACCAGCCTGACATCTTGGCTGCACGCTTTGGCTTCTCTCAACCACTCATCCCACGCTTTCGTATCAGGACAAGCGGAACTCTTCCGCACCCAGTCTGTGTCTTTGGTAACGCAAATCGTCTTCCACAGAGCTTCTGTATAAGATTTACTTGGAGACGGAAAGCCCTTTTTCTTCATTTCGGAGCCGGTAAGACACTCGGGTATCACTTGGTAGCAAGATGTGTCCCAGTGCATCTTGCTAGGCAACGCAGCCACGATCCAGTACGACGCGTTGAGGAGCATATAGGAGCCTGCCCACGCGATCTGGACCTGGATTTGCGCATTGGCAAGACAGATGACGCCGCCCATGAGCACCATGGTGCCTATCAGGCTCAGCAGCCGGTATACGGGTGCGTGGGTGATGAGGTAGTGGATGCCTTCGGGTGCGAAGTAAAGTTCCCGGGCCACATCTTCCTCACATCGCACCACCAAGAAGCTGCCCTTCAAATATCGTATCACAAGATCTCCGCGTGGTACCTTGCGGTTTTTGTCGGGGCGTGTGGGGAGTTCCAATTGCCATTTGTTGCTCAGTCCAATCAGACTCGAGAGGCCCGATAGCATCAGCGTAGCTATTATAGACATGCCATCGTCTTGCCATATTGAAAAGGCTAGAAGTAAGACGGAGAGGGCGAAACCAATGAGGAGGACGACGGTGAGCGGGCCGAAAGTCTTTGATTTGAGCGGCTGGTCGCCAACGCGTTTGATGTGGACGACGCGGACACAGAAGTCAGGGAGGTTGTTAGCATCGCTAGTTGGCTTCTGTAAGCATGCCGCCGTGATTGCTGTCGCGCGTGTTACAGAGTCTGGTAGACAGGCGGGGAGGTGCCTTGTCGGAACTTGCTAGTAGCGAAGTTTACCAGTAATGGTGCACTCACCAGACAATGTTGCCGATATGGTTAATGTAATCTCGGTGATTGCCCGAGACAATGCCCGTCACAAAACCTGGAAATGGTTCAAGATTACTTGGTCTCGTGGGCCTCATTAGAGCCTGAGGTGCTGGCAGCAGGCGCGGCAAGAAGATCCATCTGGAAAGTGTTGAGACTTGCGCGTTGGCCAGGACTGAACCCTCTCCCAAAATGGCCAGGAAGCCAACAATGTCAAGCTGCAACTCTTGGAAGGAGATGTTCCCCTCGTTGTCGGCCGGAAGCCAATGCATGTCGGTAAGCACTGGGGGTCTCTAGAGGGCGGAACGGAACGAAGGCGTAAAAAGGCAGAGATGCGGCATGGGTCCAGTCTGAAGGGCAGGGCGGATTGAAGTGCGGCGTTGAGGCGAGCACAGTTAGCAGAAGTCGAGATATATCAAACGCAAGTTGGAGACATAAAGGCATGCATGACGCTGACGACGCGTTGAGGCGTGGAATGAAGGGTGGATGGGCTGCAGCTGGGGGGCCAAAAGCGCCTGTGTTACCGCTCGGGTTAGTAGAAGGCCGTTGGTTCGCGCTGGATCGAAGGAAGCGAATGTCGACGCATGTCCAAAGCCCCGTGCGATTGGAGCCTGGTGAATGAGGGGTCTCGCTGATGGCCTGTGGCTTTTTTGCATAGCCTCAATTGTGCCAGCAACTCTAGCCTTCTCTCCAGGAACTGACCCGCTTGTCGTGATAAACGCCTTGAGCTTGTCGACTGCTGCGCCCCCTCGACGGCAGAGTGTAGGCTGGCCTTGACGTGAAACGATCCGACAGCGACAGCTGCGCTCACGGCCTGATTGTATCAAAAAGACGTTGGATGCGGTGTCGCATGTACCTGACTAGTCAAGAGAAGAAGGAAACATTCGCAGGAAGTGTGTGTTGATGTATGTGGACGCTCCTTCCTTTTCCATAGCCTGTCTTTCGCGGTTGCCATCACGAGGCAGACACCATCAAACATGCCGTCATTCACACCCCCCTCATCGTCTTCTCTTCATCCCCAGGCAGCAGGACAAGGCGTGATCGAGGCGCAGCCCATATAGCTACACCGGAACTCCACTCATCAAACTACTACTTTACTGATCTGTACGGCCACGTGCCTTAGGCCAGAAATCGGGCCTACAACACTTGACACTGGTACTCCGTCGACAACACCAAGTTGCGTTTCGCCGTTAGTCCAAGGCCTTACCCGGCAGCGCTATACCAGACAACGCTTCATCCTACACCGAGTCTTGCTCACAGCCTAGACCGGTGAAGCAAGAAATTTGCCTCGAGGGGTTTTTGAATGCAGGTGCAACCGGATGCGATCACCATTGCATTGCTCTCCCTGCGACTTTATTCGCATCGGCATGAACAGCCGGCCATAATCATCTTTCCAAAACAATCACCGGTATGCCCACTGACGGCGACATCAAACCTTTGAGTGAATCTCAACAAGCCCGCTCAGGCTTGCTGGCCAAGTGTGGTATTGTGATCCCCACATTGTGAGTCTTGGACCAAAACACGCATGCCGTGTGCACGTCTGTAGTAACCAATGCATGCAGCTTTGTACGTGGCAGACACACATCTCCAGAGGATCCAAACAGGCTGGTCATGACAGCTGACTCACCAAAGAAGAGAAAAAGAGCGACGAGCTCGCACCCAACACGAAAAGTGCCTTTTCATCTTGCAGACATGGAGGCCACTGATCAGATTCCTGATAGCCAAATGCCACAACAGCAAGAGGCACAGGCCTTGGCCAAGTTTGACCAAGAATTAAAGGATGCAACAGCATCGGAGAGATACGGGCAACAGAGGAGCAACCTTCTTCAAGTAGAAGAAGACAACGCTTGGGATCGGGAAGCAAAGCCGAGCAGTGACTCAACATCTGAGGAGGATAGGACGGAGAGAAGAGCTGCCACCATCATACAGCAGATTCGCGAGTATGAGCGCATCGTTACCTTTGGGAATCTGGCCTCAGAGTCGCTCCCAGATATTGAGGATCAGGACATGGGTGGCCAATTTCTTACTAACAAAGAACGGATAGATAAGCACAGCAAGTTGTTTGAGATATCCAAAATGGTGCCCAAGGGGGGCCTTCTGCACCTGCACTTCAATGCCGAATTACACCCTGAGATTCTTCTTGTACGAGCCCGAACAATGAAGAATATGTATATCCGCAGCATTCAGCGCATCCAAGATGAGCAGCAGTTGGCCACAACCGAGTTGATCTTTAATGTCCTAGATCCAGAAACTATCAATCCTAACGTTGACATATTTTCAACGGATTATCCTCTTGTCACAACTCCTGCCGACCTCAAGAAGGAAGAGTTTCAAAAGCAAATCTGGATGCCATGGGCAAAGTTCCAGGATGAGTTTGAAAAGAAATTTCCTGGCCAGTACCTGCACCAAGAACCTGAGACTTTCCGCGAGGGGCAGCCGCATCATTGTGGAGACTCGGCACCTCGTGCTCTACTAAGACCAGCCGAGAACTGGCTAAGGTCCAAGATGGTACTTAGTCAAGAGGAGGCTTATCGTCCCGACCAGACTGTTAATGGGTACGTCTGCTTCTATGTGAGAAAGCCATCTGCTAATACCCACACAGGGTATGGGCACGATTCAACCAAGCCACAAGGGCTTTTAAAGGTCTTCTAAACTACAAAAGTGTCTACGTATCCTACATAAGTGATGCCATTGACCGAATGATTGAGGAAGGGGTCATGTATGCTGAATTACGACCAATGCTTTTAGACAAGTTCATTCCCGGAGATAGTGGAAAGCCAGAAGATCGTCTTGATAATGCCGCTCAGATGAAGCTCATTATCGAGGGGGTAGAGGCGAAGAAGGCTGAGCTCAGGCAAAAAGGTGAGATTCACAAGTTCCCGTTCGGACTCAAGATCATATACTGCACGCCCCGATCAATACCGCCCAAGATGATGGAGAATGAAATGAGGGACTGTATCAAGCTCAAGATTCAATTTCCCAAACTGATCTGCGGTAAGTGACGAGAACAAGTATACACGTTTAGCATCTAACACACCTCCAGGATTCGATCTCGTCGGCGCCGAAGACCGCCCCAACCATATTGACTTTTACAGAACCCAACTCGTTGCCTTTAAGGAAACATGCAAAGCACTGAATCTGGAAATCCCCTTTATGTTCCACGCCGGCGAAACGCTCCTTGACACAGGTGGCTCTAACGACCCCACAAAATCCAATCTCTACGACGCAGTCGCCCTCAACTCGCAGCGCATCGGCCACGGCTTCGCCCTCATGAAGCACCCGCACTTGCTCGAGAAATTTAGGAAAACAGATGCAAGTCCCGGAATCTGCATCGAGCTGTGTCCCATTTCCAATGAACTCTTGCATCTCTGTAGGAATGTAAAGGAGCATCCATATCCGGAGTTGCTGGCTGCGGGTATACCTTGTACTGTCAATTCTGATAACCCGTCGCTATTCAGGTAGGACTCCTCCACATCTATTATATTCTATAGAAATTTCACAATCGCTAACGGGATAACACAGTAACTCCATGTCCCACGAATTCTATCAAGTCATGGTCGGCGCCCCAAGCATGTCGCTGTACAGCTGGAAGCAACTGGCACGATGGAGCATCGACTACAGCTGTCTGAGTGTCGAGGAAAAGGTGCAAGGACATGGCTATCTCAAAGACGCCTGGGTGGAATTTTGCAAGGCTGTAGTCGATAGGTACGACTTTCTGCTTGATGGGGATCGTATAGATGCATTCAAGGCTGAAAAGGCGTATCCGGCGCGGAAGAGGAAACATCCGGATGTTTTGAAGGCGCTTGTGGCATGAATTGGGGAATTGAGTGGAAAACGCAGTCGTGCAAGATATGGTTTAGAGTTAAAATACACTTATTGTCTTTTGTCTATCCAGGCTGGCTTGCCAATAGATTCGTATGAAAAGAAGTCACATACATAGCTAACCCTACTAAAACTATCCTTGAAAAGAAACCAGAACACCAGATCTATCCATCCTAATAGTAAAAAAGGAACATAGAAACCAAAGCACCACATTCAACGCCCCTCATACTCTAAACACCTCATGGCCCTATTCAAGCGCAGCTTGAAAAAGAAATCCCCACTCTCATGCCTTCCCCGTAACCGTCTGGCCCTTGGCTTTGGCAAAATGAGCACTACGCTCATGCGCAGGGTTCGGGGAGTAGAATTCATCCACAATAGGATGAATCATGACGGTCTGCTTGGAAATAGTCAGAGTACTATTTGTCGGGACTGTGACCCAATTATCTGTTTTGTACCTCATTAGCCTTGTTTCTCCATCGAAAAAGTTCAAAAAACAACAACAACAACAGATGAAGGATGAAAGAAAAAAAAGGAAATGTAACCATACCGCGTTCAAACGTCAAGGGCTCACTGGCCACAAGCACGATATCGGACCCCTTGTCCCTCCTCTCCATGACATAATTCCTCTCTCTATCCTCGCCATCCACACCGCCAGTGCTACTCCCATCATCGCTCCCGACCGACGCTGCAGCACCACGAGGAGTATCTCCACCAAGTTCCTTCCAACTTGTGCCACTACTAAAAAACAGACTCGCCGCCTCATCCTTTGTCGAACTCACATAGCGCGAACAAACCACGCTAACGCCATCCGTGACCGCGAAATTCAATAGACTCCTACTATCCTCCTCGCCGACCCCCTGTTCGCCCACAACCTCCTTGATCAAGGCATTGATCCTCTCAATCGTCTTGAGCAGCGCCTTCCTGAGCACCGTGTGTCCGAAGCCAACGCCTGGCTCTACCTCTTTATCGGGCGAGACACCGGCGTTGGCGAGGCAGTCGAGGAACATGGCGAATGCCCACTCGCTGTCTGTGGAGCCGCCGACGACGTTGAACCATTTCTCGGCGAGGCTGAGGGCGAAGCGGCGCTTAATTTGGCGCCAGGCGCCGATGCCGCCGTTGTGCATGAACATGATGCTTTTGTAGCTGAAGGGGTGGCAGTTGCTGTCGCTGAGGTTGCCTTCAGTTGTGGCGCGCACATGGGCGAAGATGAGGGACGAGGTCGTTTTGGAGGCGATGCGCGAGAGGTTGATGCAGTTCCACGCGGGGATTGTGGACGTGAAGACGCAGGGCGTGGGGCCGAGCGAGGGAGAGGTGTAGTAGCCGATGCCGAAGCCGTCGCCATTGTGTGGGCGGCGCCGGTCCTGGAGTGGTGGTGGTGATGTTAGTTGGGAGAGTGAGATGGATGACTCCAACCAAGGGGGAAATGCAATGGGTGACGTACTAGTCGCAGACGCGAATCGAAGGATTGTGTGAGGATAGAGTGGGTAGGGTTGAGAATGAGTTCCGAGAGAAGGATATCATCTTTGCCTTTGTAGACCTGCCATGTGTGTTAGTTGGGTAGTTCTTTTAGGTGTTGTAGCAGACTTGCCATAAATCTGCACATGGTGGGCAACTGTTCTGTTCTCAGGCCTCAGTTGTAGTTGCAACTAGGAATACAGAGCAAGGAAACCAGAATCGATATGTATATGGCGAATGTGTGATGTACAGTGGTGTGCTGGCTGTGACGCTCAGGCGGTGTGTCCGCGATGATTGCGCCATCGGGGCAAGGCACTGGACAAGATATTCCTTGTGCTCAACCGTCTTCGCAGAGAGAATGGGCAAGAGACCACGATATCAAGATGCACAGGGTCAGCTCCATGGCACGCGACACGTGAATACACAGCGATGCAAACTAAAAAGGCACAAAAGGCTGACGGCCCGGCGTTGCTGGACGTGCATGAGTACCACTGGCGGGCGGGGGTGTTCGCTCACTACAGCGTGTTCCCCCTCGCCCAATGACGCACTACCTTCTCCCCCGTTACCCTAGCAGGCGGACGGGCCAATCACGACAAAACCTTTCAAATGAGCAGCAAAACATCAATGGATTGGCGATAATAAATTCAGCTATCTGGCCGGCACGACTGAACTGAGACTATATATTTTCGCCCTCGCACCCAAATGTCAAGAGCGCCCTTTGCAGAGCAGGCCGCCCAGTCCAAACCGCCCCGAGCTTCAGACAGAGAGCCAGCCAAACACAACGCCGGGGATATGATGCGGATAACAAACATGGGAGGGTTACAAGACGGTGTATCGTAGAGGCTTCATAGAAATCATGGCGAAGTGAAGGCTGCGAAAACATGGCAACATTTGCAAAGGAAAACTCAAAGTCCCCGCAATCATGCCTCTTCCCCGGGTCACGTATCATATCGTATATGATCTCAAACCCCTTCCAGGGCACTGGCAAACTCCTCTAGTCGCCCTCTCGTGGCTGGCTAGGGTCATCAAGGGAGCGCTGCATGGCTGACCATGCCCCCTCTCAACTCATTGGCGCTCGTCGCGAATATATCATCCGCTTACATGTCCATTGAGTCGCCTCCATTGGCAAAGTTGAAGTTTTGTTGTTGCTGCTGGCCAGCAGCTCCAAAGCCAAAGTGACCCTCCTGGTTGACCTGGGGTCCGCCCTCAGCCATGTTCTCTGCCTCACCCTCGTCGTCGGAAAAGTACTTCTCGATGATGTTGTACGCCTTCATGTAAATCTCCTCGTTGGCGTTGTTCTGGCACTCGTGGATCTTCTCCATGCCGCCAACCTCCTCGATGAAGAGAGCGTAGCGGTTGATGGGCTCGCCACCAGCACCACCCTCGCTGGCCTCCTTGTCCATCTCTCCGACCTTGAGAATGTTCTCTAGACCATCGAGGGCGACTTGGATAATCTTGTTGTCGGGGCATGCGAGCAGGTCACAGAGGGGCTTGATGCAGCCGCTCTGGACGAGGTAACGGATCTGAGCAGGCTTCTGCAGACCACCGCTTGTGGCGTTGGAAATAGCCCAGCATGCCTCCTTTCGTGTCTTGAAGTCGCCATTCTGGAGGAGGTGGATCAGGGGGGGAATAATGTTGGCGTCAATGACAGCCTGAATCTGAGTAGAGTTGCCGGCAGTGATGTTGGAGATGGTCCAGCAAGCCTCCTTGCGGATACCATCCTTGGTGGAGCTGAGGAGTGACAACAGGGCTGGGAGCGCGCCGCAGTTGATGATGACTTGGGTCTGGACGTCATCGCCAGTGACAATGTTGCCGACCGAGCGCAGGGCGGGTGTCTGGACGGACGTGGAGGCGTGCATCAGCAGCTCGACAAGACGGCGGGGGATGCCAGCCTCGATGACGGCCTGGATCTTGTCGTTGGAGCCATCGGACAAATATGAGATGGCCCAGCAGGCGTCGATGAGGACCTCGTCATCAAGGGAGTAGACAAGCTTAGCAAGCACGGGAAGGGCGGGCTGGATCTGCAGGATCGTTAGGGGGATGCAGGCATGCGGGGCAGCGAGATTCGACTCACAGTTTGCCAGTCGGGCTGAGGGGTCTTGCCACGGCAGAAGTTGCTGAGGGTCCATGTGGCATTGCGCAGCATGCTCAGCTTGCGGCTGTCACCCAACAGAGCAAGCAGCGGGCGGAGAGCACCCGCCTGCAGTACAAAGTCGCGGCATGCGGGGCTGTCTCCAGCAATGTTACCTAGGGCCCAGACAGCCTGCTCGCGCACATCTGGCTCGTGGCTGCTTAGCAGCTCGACAAAGATGGGCACTGCGCCCGCCTCGATGACGACCTGTGTCTGCTGTGCCGAGCCAGAGGCGATGTTGGTAAGGGCCCAAGCAGCCTCGAATTGTACCAGTGTGTGGGGTGAGCGGAGGAACTCGACAAAGCGGCTCACTACGCCCGTCTCGATAACGCGCTCAATGGGCGGGTTGCGCTCCTTGGACAGGAGCTTACGGAACTTGGTTGTGGCCTGGATCTGCTCATCGATCTGTTCCGAGAAGACGCCCTTTACCATCTGGGGGAGCTCTTCGTTCAGCTATCGCATTGTGTCAGCCTCTTGCCTCTTTGACAAAGTCCGCCACAAGGGCGAGGGGGCAAAGCACGGCATGGTGGGGGTATACGGACCTGGCTCTCAATGTTGCCGCCCTCATCGTCGCTATCGGGGGCAGCGCCCAATGAGGCACCGGGTTGGTCTCGTCCAGAAATACCACGGCGCTTGGCAAGATTCTCTTCACGCTTTGCTCGACGGATCTCGACCTGTTGCTCTTCACGGCGGCGACGGAGTTCATCCGGCTTGAACGCGCTCTTGGCCTTGAACGTCGTGCGGCGGTGCTCGGGGATGTATTTGTCGGCCATTTTCTGCAACGACTCGATTTGACGGACAGAGTGTTGAGTCGGACAAGTTTGCGGTGGGTCGGGTTTGTTTGTAAAAGGGAGTAAACTTTCTAACTAGAGGGGTGATTTTGAAAGCGGAAGCGGCAAAGCGGTCATGGCGCTAGCACCTAGCCTTGGCTCGAGCCTTACGCCCAAGCAACCACCATCAGCACCACGACGCGTCTCCTCGTCCCGAGTCATTGTTGTATACTCACCCAGCCCTCCAGTATCCTGCCAACATCTGCAGCACAAGTCTATGCGATACACACGGATCATCACTACTATTGCAAGATCGCCCGCCTTTTGTGTAATTGCATGTGTCTTGACATGTGCCTGTTCTTTGACGGCCTGATAGCACACTAAACCGCTTTCAGCACCACTCCCAGCTACCATGCAGTTGCCCAACGGCTTCACTGCCATCAAGGACGCAACATCAGAAGGTCAAAGCGTCAATTTGATAGGCATTCTCGTCGCTTGTGATGGGCCAAGATCCTCTAAAGGACTCGACCATGTTCTTTCTTTCACTATCCAAGACGACTTTGCGGACGTCTCTGCCAGTACCTACTCCTCCATCAATGGTCGCATGTTCAAGCCACCAAATAAGTTCCCTAAGATTTCTGGTATTGGAGATATCCTAATTCTTCGTAATGCCAAGCTTAAGCCATGGGTCGGGCGTATGGAATGCATTGGCGACAGACAATTCACTCACATGACCGTATTCCCTAGCAGCATGATTCCTGTCCCGGAGCTCAGCCATGCCTACCAAGCTGGCAGTCAAAAGCTCCCTTGCGATTCTTCTTGGGGGGCACCGCAACCAACAATCCCAGAGCAAATGGCTGTCATACACCTGAAACATGCCTCTTCTGGTTCAAGCCAGCAAATACGACAGCATGCAACGACGGCTGCATTCAAGACCCAAACAAAGAAAAGGGACTGTTTGATTAAAGACTTGCAGTTTAATACTTTTGCGGACATCAGGGCACAAGTTGTCAACATCTATCACTACCACGGTCAAGCCGATTTGAAAGTTACCGACTACACCCCAAACGAGAGCATGTTTTATTACGCCGATCCTGAAAAGGAAGATAGCTTTCATATTGCAGATAGACACTGGAAAGGTCCATACGGGTACTTGACTCTCAGCGTTACCTTGTACGAAGAAAACGCGAACTGGGCAAGAGAACACTTGGCGGTGGGTGACTATGTTTTCATACGAAACATGAGAGTCAAATTGTCCGCCCGTAGCAAACTTGAGGGCGTAGTGCACCAAGACAGAGTCAACAAATCACAAGTCGACATACGTATTTTGAATAACGCGTCAGAAATTGCGGAAATCGATAGCCGACGGAAAGAATACGAGAGCAAGCGTGGCGGTCTAACAGCTTTCGAAAAAATACATAGTGAAGCTAAAAAGCCTTCTGCCAAAACATCAAACAGCAAGAAGTTGGCCAAAAGAGAACGACTGCGGGCTGAGAAAGAAGCCGAGCAGCAAGAAATTGAAAAGAAGGCCCGTGAATGGGAAGTCGAACGTAGTGGCTTGAACAATAATAGTAAGACTTGTACCATCTCTGATTTATCCATACTAATTCAGACGCAGTCCGATGCGCTCACGTGGACATGAAGTCTTCCACAATCTCCGAAATCATACACAACCCTCATCTTCGTGTGCGCACACTTGAAAAGTGTAATGACTATGAACTTCCTTTTGTCAATTGCCGGTACCGATCTCGTGTGCGCGTAGTCGATGTATTCCCTCCCAAACTCGAACTCTTTGCTCACTCTCTAAATGATCCGAACTGGGCCAAGCGGTCTGAGAAGCAGCATGCTGACAGTACATGCCCAAAAGAACGATGGGAGTGGGGATTCGTGCTCCTGCTGGAAGACGCAGAAGCACCTCAGGGCGGTGTGTCTGAGAAGCTGCGTGTTGTCGTGAATAATAGTTCAGCACAGTACCTGTTGAAACTGAATGCGCAAGAGTAAGCGAGCTTTAGATCGTTGCTAGTTACACGCTGATTGACATCATCGCAGCCTCAAGAACAACTCCAAGGTGCTCAGACAGCTTGAACATAAACTGTTCCTTCTCTGGGGAAACTTAATGGAGTTGAAGACAGAACTGAGAGCCAAAGGCTCCGATCTCCCATTACCACCTGGTGACAACCGTTTGCAGAACAAGCCTTTTGACACATGCATAGAAGAGTATGGCTGCCAGGTACCCGTCACGGAGGACCATCCGTTTGGTTATCAGCGCATGCATAACCTGACACTGACGACAATCATGGATTGATGTATGTATTTGCGTTAGGCGAGATCGACACATCCGCATCATTGTTTAATTGGATGAAACTGACTTTAGACAAGACCCTTGCAACGCATCCTTGAGGGTTCTCTGCGTCACGGCGTCTAAGTGCTGTGACGTGCTCAGTAGCCACCGACTTTCCTTCAACTAGGCTAAGTATTCTGTGTGTTTTAGTTGCTGCAGGGTCCCCTCGCCGCACGGCTTTATTTGGTGAAGAGGGACACGTACTAGCTCGAATTGAGTAACTCAACCGACTCAAGAAACGAGGTTGTATAGGACTCACCCTATTACGACCAATCAATGCCCTTTCACTGAAGGTATACCGACTTAGGGCCATCCGTATTACGTGTGGGCCCAAGTCACGAAGGAGGCTAAAATGGCGTTTACCAGAATTGCGTGATTAAACGTGCTTGGAGCGGAATATGACCGAACCGCGTACCATCATCAATCAACACTTAAGTGACAAGGAACAACACACTATAATTTCCGGGACTTGAAATCGAATACAAATAGTGCGAAAGAATTGTAAAACCTACGTATCAAACGGCTGGAAAGTGAAGGAACAAGAAAGGTAAGTGTTGTCGGATGCTCAACGCAGTATCCTGGCACCAGCTATACAAGGGAAAGAAGAAAGGTCTGACAGATCAACTCTAGGAAGAAACATTCAAAGAAAACCATGGAGAGTTCAGGATACACAATTAGTTTTCCTGCCCAAGCACCGGACCTCAAGGAACCGAATGTCAAAATAACAGAACTCCCTCCTACACCGCCTTCACCCAACAAATCAATCCCACTCCGCAGCATCACTCTTCAGGATCCAACCCTCATAACCACGGAATTCGACGCCCACCGCTTCCAAGCTGCGGCATACACCCAACTCATTAACACTGCGATCCCAAAACTTACAACCCAAGCTCCTGCACCAATAACACTACCCGGATCAATCCCCTCAGACACCCTCATAACATCGCCCTACAACAAACTAGGCCACTACCTCTCCCTCTCGACCCCTCCTCTCCCCCTTCCCTCCCTCCTCCTCGCCGTAGCCCTAACGTCCCTCCAACCCACTCTCCCCACCTACGCCACAGCTCCCTACACCTCCGCGCTCAACCTCGACGTCGTACTTGACGTTCTACGCGCACTCGTTAAAAGTGAAGGTGTAGAATGGCCCGAAACCCGATTCTACGTAGTTGTCTTCCGGAGCAAACTCAAAGAAAATATCGATACCGATTATCTGTACAAGTTGGACGAGGAGAGTCATGCGGAGGCGTGTGCGTCGGGGGGATTGCTGAAGTATTGGTTTGGGAAGAGCAATGCGGAGAGTAGGAATTTGGCGACTTGTATGTTTTATTCCCTTATTCTTCACCATTTTTGCTGCGGATTTAGCCACGTGATGTGCTGTGGTGGTTGAGTAAGACGGTGTTCAACTGACGGGTGTGAGCAGGTTTCTGGCATAGCAGGGAAGATGCGTATCGAGGAGGTTTGGGGCCGTGGCATAAAAAGGCGCGGGCGGCAGGTAGGGAGTTGTATGAGCATATTACATTTACTACGCATTGGTTTACTGTGCTTGAGGGAGTCAAGGGATATACGTTTGAGAACTACCATTAATGAAGGGTTTGCGGGAGGGAGATAGGAGGGTGATGTTCTTTTCAAGTTTGCAAACGGTACAGGGAAATAGAGGGTATAGATAGAATGGGGAAAGTCAAGAAGAACAGCTTTAAATTGCCCAGATGGTCTATACCATGTCCTACTGTACACTGCACATTTGCTATGCAGAGCTCCAAACCTACACCGATCGATATCGATCCATGTCTCCCGCTCGCACGTCAAGAGTCGTTTATGGCCGGATAACGCGGAGGCCGTCTTTCGAGGGTGCTGCTGCTCGCTTGAATGACTGTTTGGCGCGGTTAGGACGCTACGTGCTTGATATGGGTTGGTGCGTCGAGGGAAACTGACGTTGTCGCACTCTTCCCATGCCCTTCCAGCACCGAAACCGAGACCGACAAAGGCGGGCCATGCGCGTCGCTTGAAGAGGAGGACCGAGAAGACGACGCCGAAGGAGACTCCGAGACCCGAGCGGATGAGCATTGAGGAGAGGCAGCGATCCCACTGTGGGCATGTGTTAGTAGCCTTGTTCAAACCCAATCTTGTACTGCTTATCGGTGTGGGTTGGTGGTGTTGGCATGGGGCAGTCATCCGAGTCGCGTGAGAGCATTGTGCCCCGCCATTGCATGCGAGAGTATTGCCCCCCAACACTCAGATGCCCCAATTCAAATCCAGACATTGCCAATGCCTTCATCACGAGATTGTGTCGGGAGTGGCTATTCTACCTTTTCGTTGAGCAGAGCCTCGCTCATGGGACGAGTGGTACGCGAGATGGACGCAACGGGCTGGGGGTTGTTTTCGGCCATGGCAGCGGATATGTCGAGTGCAATTGATGGATGCAACGGCGCACTCGGTGTGCTGAGGGGTGAATGGGAGCGGCTCGACGTGGTGTTGATGGTCTTCGTCCGACAGCTGGGAATGCCGAACTTTGACGTCGCCGGCCCTTGGCAGGAACGACAAGGGTATGCCTGGTCCGTGCCCAACTTTTTTCGACCTTACTATCACTGGTTTGCTCGGCCACTATACTTCCTTTAGCTTCTGCAACTGCAAACGGGAAATGAGGTGACAAGATGGCGCCAATTCAGCCAGTGAGTATGACGTGCATAGTTTATCAAGAAGGTACCTGACATGCGAAAAGGCCTCGAAGAACGATCCTGCGTCGACCCGTCCGCGGCTGCAAGCCATCAATCAGGACTTCTCTGACCTAGACGAACAAATTTCCCAAGTTGCGCATATAATAGGCCTTCCTGAAGACTGGACTACTGTAACAGAGGAGGAAGTAAAGGCCAGAATCATACAACGACTTGTGCGCGCAAGAGCGGAATGGGTTCTGCGCTGGATACTCGACAAACTAAAGGATGACTTGGAAATAGGGCGCACAGCGCGGGGAAACGCGAACGCATGGCAGCTTCTTGAATGGATGATTCAAATTCTCCCTGTTTCGAGAAGTGCATCTCATCTACGCGACGCCAGTTTCCCAAGCATTCTCGAACGAGCGCTTGTTGAGAACTTCGACAAGGAGCCCACTGTGCAGCCTGCAGGCGCATCCGATGATGTTCACATGAACGACGATTCCGAGTCGAGCGCGACCATCCGAGAAGACAGCAAGCCATCGAAGAAACGAAAGCGCGGAACTGTGCAAAGTCCACCCTTGAAAATGACAACTCTCGATCCAGCAAAACTCAGTCACCTTTTTCACATAATCCTATCTGTCGTAGCCTCAATAACCAGGTTGGCCGCAGGAAATAAGGGAGACGATACTACCCAAGCGGAGCTTATGAAGATGGTCTTGAGGACCGACAGTGCGCAAGCTTCACGTATCCTGAGGTTCTGGCTCACGAGCATTTACAAAATTCTAAGTACTCTTTCGAAAAACGCACACCTGGACCACTACTGGACTGAATTCGTCGACCTTTCCCTGCCCTACGGAATCTGGGATCTACGAACAGTGGATGCAAAAGACGAGACTGGTGCGTCTGCCGAAGAGTTCAGCACAGAGTGCCTTGTTCCCACATTAGATCTTCTCGTATACCTGCAGAGTTTACGCGATGGAGGTGTCTTAAATATTCCATCTTATGCCGTCAGTCGCGCGATTGCAGCATTAGATAAGTCATTAACTAGGCATTTATTTGCGCCTTCAAGAGCAGCTTTCTTTGGCGAGACTAACAATGGGTCTACTTCGAGCGAAGCCCCAAAGCCGCGGGACGCCCAAGTGTTAGCCAGCAACTTGGAACCTCTGCGTGCGAAGCTCCTCCAAGCTGCTCAGATCGAGGATGGTGGCGATGTTCTACCAAAAAGACTTGCATCCCTGTTTGATGCAGTCCCCTACTTATTGGATCTTGTCATCCGTATATCCCCATCTCGGACACCCAAAAGCAGGGCGATGGAGAAACCCTGGCTGCAAGCTGTTTTTTCTACACTTGCCGAGTGTGCGGGATGTTCATTGACGACTCCTCCGGAGTTCATCACACGCCAAACCGCCGTCACTGCCCTCAGTGCTGCGTTGCGTGTGCTGCAAGTCCATGAAGTTACTCTTGGTCCAGATCTTGTCAAAACCATCTTCTGGTATCATTGCGGAGTCAAATACCCAGAAGGTCGAGAGAAGGAGGTGCACTGGTCGCTGATTGCATCTTTGATTGAGCTTGACTCCTCGGTCTTTGTCATAGGATCGAAATCCGGCAGCAAAGGAACACAAGAAGACCACACTGAGCTTGTTGAGTTCATTTTTGAGCAGATATCTGCAGTAGAGTTGAGCGGTCAAGGGTTCATCGATGAGAAGCAGTCTCAGAAGAATGAGACCCGGCCGGAAATCATCAAAAACACACAATTGACAAGAAAAGCAATGCTAGAGATGGTCATCATCCCTCTCATGTCGGCGTTTGTACGAAGTCGCAACTTGCTAGGCTTCATTCGCAGATGGGATGATCAGTTAATCAAGAGCTACAGGCATGGGAAACGCAAGGCTCTCAAAGATCGGCAAGATATCATTTGGCAAGATCGCGCCCTCTACACTGCATTGGCAGGTGTTTTTGAACAGTCTCTCACCCAGGGTCAAATCACAATTCTTCTGCAAGAGCATGAAATGCGGTTGGTGAAACTGAAAGAGGCGATGGAAGCAGCGTCCAAAGAAGACGTCAAGGTCAAGAAGCTCGCAGCTTACAAGAACGCGGCAAGCAGCGCTGTCCTCATCCCCGCTTTCCTCCAATCTATTAGATCAGACATCATCGTCGAAGCACTCAAGTATGACCTTCAGGCATTGTTTGTCACTTATGTTGCTTGGGTACAAGATGATGCCTACAGCTTCTACACACAGCTCCACCTTTCTTGGTTCACATTGTGCCAATTGCTAGATGATCTCTGGCCAATTCACATGCACGCTTCTCTCCCGGCACAGCAGGAATTCTTATATCCGCTTCTTGACCAGGCTACCAAAGACATTTCCTTTGGACGCAGAGACAAAGGCCGAAGTATGGACTCTTCCTCACGAGCAGCTGCTATGCTCTTCTGCTTCAACGCATGCGATCGCCTTCAAACAGTACCTGGTTCTGAAGATGCCATCCGTAATGTGATGCAGAAGATCTTGGAGAATCTCTCTCCTACCCAGTTGGGAGATGAAGATGACGAACGCATGGTGGAAGTTCTTTGTACCTACTTTGTCAACCTGCTCGAGCCTCTTGAGGCAAATGCTTGTCGCGATGCGATATACAGCATCTTGTCCAGACTTCCCCAGCTGGGAAAGGTTTCTAGTGATCTCATTTGCAGGTCACTTTCTGAGTCTATCGCCGAGAGTGGGAGCGCGTCAACTCAAAGTGCTTATTCTGCAGCACTTTTGCAAGCTCTTGGACAAGATGCTGATGATGACATCTACACTGCAGTCGCAGAAGGCATCCTTCACATCAATCCTCTGGCACTTGCTCGCGAACAGAGAAAGTCGATACTGGACCGTACAACTGAGCTTTTGACCTCCGGAAAATCCAATCCAGTTGAGCTCTTGAGCGTCATCGCCCACCTCCAGCAAGTGCCGAATGCATCGGCACAAGTGTCAACTGAAGCCACCGTGCTTTTCGATATCGCGGAGCAACTCCATCAACAACATGTGGAGACGGAAACCGTCCTACAGCTTCTTAGGGAGCTTGTTCAGAAGACACTGGTCCAAATTCTACCTAATCAAACCCAGTCAAAAAATAAGGAGTTTGTCATCGAATTCACAGGGAGATTGCTTTCCATCACCAAGGCTACAGATCAGTGCTCATTAGCGAGGCTCTCGATTTTACAAGCAACATCGTCGGCCCAAAAACAGAACACTCTTCTGCATATTGAGCGATACGTCGATCTCCTGAAGAAGTTGCTTAGCAGTCCGGACATCGATGTGCTACAGGGTTCACTGGATGCTTTCAACGAACTATCGATATCTGCATTGAGAGAAGCCAAATTGTTCGACCGCATTCAGACTTGGCTCCGGACGTGGATCAAGGACGCGGTGGACCTCGATGAATACCAAGCACCTGACGCCGTAATTCGATCTGACGTTGTCGAATATGTCGCGCGCGTATACAATTTGGTCACGAAATTTGAGCTGTATCCTGATATGACATGGCTAGTACGCTTGACACTCACGCTTGTACAATGGAGCCCAGTTTCTGTGCAGAATACCGTGCACACTACATTGAAAGAAGCAGTTGCACCTCTCGCCGTTTACGAGAAGTTGGATTTGATTGCAGTGTTGACTGCTGATCAAAAACTACCGAACTCTGCCTCAGCATATCGCATCCTCAATAACATTGTCTCAACGATAGACGACAGACTTGAGTCTAATGCTGAGCTAAAGCAAAAGCAGCTGGCGTTGTTGCCCAAACTCTGTGCTTTGCTTGCTGAGTGCCCCGACTACGAGTCATTCAACAGTCTCCTCAGCTGTGTAGACACAATCTTGAATGATAGGCCTTCACTCGCGTCGCAATATAGTATCGAGTGCACTTTCGGTGTGCTGGTCAAGCTGACTTCACGAAGCAGCCCTGCACTGCCCTCTCGACATGCTCCATCGATATTTTCAAGGCTTTGTCACACAAGTCGCTTGATCCTACTCGTACACAGGGGTCGCCTTGGTGGACGCTTTCACCTATTCTTGCCGCTTTTGCAAGGCCTCTTGTTCTGCTTGTTCATTCCAAATGCTAGTCGAAGTGGCGCACTGCCCTCGTGGTTACGAACCACTGTAGCCACAGAGCCTGTAAGGCTCACGGCTGCCAATGCCTCCCAGTTCACACGGCTACTCTCTACACTTTGTAACCCCCCACAGTCTTCAATCACAAAAGCACACCAACATCACCAATCCCGCAAATCCAAGGATCTCAACGACCCGATCAAAGCCGCTCGTGAGAAGGCGAGTAACTTCTTGTATCCACTACTTGCTTCTTTCTGCCGCTTCCAGCTCAACGGAAGGCTGGATCAGAACGTGAGAGAGAAGCTGATGCCTGGCATCTGGGAGGTTGTGGGCACGGCGAGCCTGCACAGAGAGACTCTGGATGCAATGTTTGCCGGTCTGGGCAGAAGTGAAAGGGACGTCTGGAAGGGTCTATGGGAAGACTGGGAAGGGGTCTACGGAAGGAGACAGGTTGTCGGTCATGGAGATTGAAGTTCTGCGTAGCCAAGACTACCATCATTGTCCGCGGGAATACGCGTTGGATGGGATCGCGACAACTTCTATTGCAGTATGTACTAATACAATACTAGGTACAGCATGCTGCTGTGTTGCTGGGAAACCGGAGTCTCACTCAATGCAATCAAATTTATAATGTAAACTATATGGAGTGCCGATCTGTTTGCTCTCACTCCTCTCCAGCCAACCTTGCTATTGTCAAGTCAATTCACCTCATCATCACCGTCACTCAGTACAATAAACACTGCGTCATCCTCCAACCAAACGCAACCGTGCGCTTTCACGCTGCCCATTTGATCTAATATCCCTCCACTTGAACTTTTCTTGAGATCTCTCAACACACAGTCTTTCAACCCATACCCTCTCTAAAACCAAACACTCACATGCACTACTATCGCAAAATGTCGACCTCGTTTTCACCATCATCATCACCACCACCAACACTCCCAGCCACACCTATTGCGCCCTCAATAGAAACCTCAAAATACCTCTACGCAACGAAATCCCACACCCCAACCCCGATATGCTACTGCGGCACTCGGCAAGAAACCATCTACCTCCACCCTCTCATCACCTGCACCGGCAAAAAATGCCAAAAAAGGTTCTACCACATGCAGTGCGTAGGCCTGACACTCCAGCACCTTGTCGGCAACGAACCTTGGCTCTGTCAGGAATGCCAACTGGCTCAAACACTCGCATCTCTGCCGCCTCTACCGCTGCCGCTGCCGCCGCCACCGCGCGTGTGCGTTTGCAAGGACCCGCCGTATACCATGGGGCCCATGGTACAGTGTGCACGGAAAGCAAAGTGCGAGGTTAGATGGTTCCATTGGGTTTGTGTTGGGTTTCCTGAGGAGGATGGGGGATGGGTGTGTGAGGCGTGTGGGGAAGGGCGTGAGGAAGAAGAGGAGGAGGAGGAGGTGCCGGAGCTAGCGGCGAAGAAGACTAAGATTTCTTCAGGTGCGGTGGAGGATGGGTTTTTGAATCGAGGGGATGAAGGAGAGTTGGAGGCTGGGGTGAGGGGAGGTTTGGGTAAAGTGGCTCATCACGGTTGTGCTGTGCATGGGATGCAGGTGTGGGAAGATGCGGTGGTGTTGGCGGAGGCTCAGTTGGATCGAGTGGATGGGACGGAGGAGGTGCTGGAGAAGAGGGATGGGGTGAGGGCAGCAGAGACTACGACACCAGAGCCTGTTGCGCCAAAGTCTACGACGCCAGAGGCTACGATACCGGAGTTAACGACAACAGAGTCCACTACACCAGAGCGTGTTGTGCCAGAGCATACTACGCCAACAGAGCCTGGATACTGCTTCTGCGGCACACCGGATACCAACGACATGATTGCTTGCGATGGCAAGGGCTGTGCGACGGAGTGGTTCCATTTTACGTGTGTGGGCTTGACGCCCGAGACCGTGCCCAAGGGGAAGTGGTTTTGCGATGATTGTGCAGAGAAAGCGGTGAAGCGGAAACGGAGCAAGGTTGCTGGGAGGAAGAGGAAGAGATGAGTTTTGAGGTTTTTTCGTCTAGTGAACTGGGTATGAGGTAGGGGCTGGCACGTTGCACGTTCAATCTTGCTCTTATCGGATCCGTTAGGTTTGGGGGTGGTTTTTTTTTTTGCCTTCTCGCTATGTAAAGGGGTGCAGGCAGGTACAGCCTTTGCGGTTTCTTTCATAGAAAATCGGTTTATCAAGTTTGCGACATGAACGAATGTTGAATATTTGACAAACATGAATTTCCATCTGCCACAACTTCATCTAAACTTATCTTCGTTGAATCTAATCATTTGGAAGTAAAGAGGGGGAAAAAACCAGTCCTGATAACGTAGCGCCAGCCCCACTCCTTAAAACATGGGTACTAGTAACAGGTCTGTTCAGGGTCCATCAATCTCGTCTAATCTTGTATACTACGAACTCTGTCACGTGTCGGGTGGGGCCAAAATCAACGTCCATCTATACATCCATCGAATCGGCTGCTATTTTCTCAAAGTATCGAAACCAAAGCCTGCGTTCAAGACGTACACCGTTTCCGCACGCAAGAAAACGCCGACTAGCCGCAGCACTTGATGACGTAATACTACTATCTATTGCCGGGGCACCTGCCAACAACGAGGTCTGGTTCGCAGGGACACGCAACCGCACCCCTACCACGGCATTTGGCCTTGTCCCTCCCAGGAAAAAAACACCAAAGCAGCGCAAGCAGTCACAAGGACCCTTACATAACTTTCTCCCTGTCTCACTATGCTACCAACGCTATTGCAGCAACCTTCTCCATCATCATCGTTGTCCTTATCTAGTACTAGCTCTTCCCACGCCACAAGCACCAACACCACCACCAGCAGCGGAAGTAGCAGCAGTACTAGCAGCAGCAATGGCAGTAGCAGTAGTCAAAAACCCACAATGCTATCTCCCTTCTTCGCACCCCTACCACCCACAACATGGTCCCCTACAGCCGCAGCCCTGGCCCTCACCCGCGACATCGCTAGCATGAACACCACCATCCTAGCCGATCTGCAGGGCCTCTCCAGCATCCCGCGCATCTACACCACGCTCTTCCATCGCACGCGCGAATTCGCCGCCACCGTGCGGCATTTCGCCAGCGTCGTTGCGGCGGGCTCGTGGGCTGCGGCGGCGTGTCTGCTCGTCGACTGGGGCGTCCATGTGCTGCGGCATCCGCGCGTGGGGCTCGAGCGCTTTCTGAATAGTCAGCGCGAGAGTTTGTATTGGATTCTGGATGATGCGTTGCTGAGGATTTGTCTGGATATGTGGGATCCGCCGCGTGAACAGCAGGCTTGTCAGAGGAAGGAGAGGGTGCTGCCGTGGGATGAGGCGACAGACCCGATTGTCAGGGCGTTGGCGAAGGCGCAGGCCTTGGTGCCGGTTTGGGGGCAGATGGATGTCGACGAGACGAGGAAGTGGGAGGTCCCTGTTTGCGAGGGCGCCCAGGCCGAGTGGTTCGAGGTGGGCTGGTTTCGGCGGTCGAGGCAGTTTCTCAGGGAGAGTAGTAGGATTTATGAGATTTGGAGGACCATGAGGAGGGTGGGGAAGGGCCAGTTGCCTGCGGAGCTTGCGAATGTGATTGTGGAGGATGTGGCGGCGTTTGAGGTGTTGCCCTTGGGGGATCTGAGGGAGTTGTATTTTCCGGCTGAGAAGCAAGCATTTGGCTAAATGAATAGATTCAAGAGATATAGAGAGAAAAAAAAAATAAGTTAAAGACAAAGCGAGGCATACGATGTCGTTTAGCCTCTTGCAGAGTCCAAAATGGCAAGCACATCTTCCTTTCCGCCCATGCCCTCCATGGCCCCAAACACATCCGTCAAAGTACTTTCAGCCACCTTGTCAATATCTTCTTGCTTCTCAACACCAACTTCCTTGAGCGTGCTGGGCAGCTCAAGATACCTAACAAACCCGCTCACCGCATCCGCAAGCTCCGACTCCTCAGCATGCAACGCCCTATTCCAAATCTCCAGCACCCGCTTCTGGACCTCCCTCTGTCTATCCGACTTGGCTGCTGTATACCTTATCACAGGCGCCAGCATGATACACGAAGTAACACCATGCATTACGCCGCAAACACTGCCCAGTTGGTGCCCAATAGCGTGCGAAAGCCCCATTGGAATAGCCCACAGTATCAGTCCCATCATAGCGTCTCGAGCCCCGAGTTGGCAATTTGCAATTCCCTCCAGGAGCTCAGAGTACTTGTTGTCTGCCTCGCCTATTTTGTACGCTTTGAGGCCGCGCAAGAGTGTCTGGAGGGCATTTTCCATGTGGAAGAATATTTCTTCTGTGCAGTGTTCATTCAACATCTGCATTGAGAGAGAGAGAGAGGGTGGTGTAGGTTAGCGGTGAAGAGCGTTTATTTTGAGGGATTTATTCATCGTCATTTGACAAAGGGGAAGAAGAAAAAAACGTACTGTTTCGATACAGTGATCCACCGCGCGTACACCGCTTGAAAGCCAGAGTTTCCGAGGTGATGTAGCAGCTACTTCTGGATCGAGAAGAATCAAATCCGGGGCTGCGTTCTCGCTGGCAAAATGCTGTTTCTTGAGCGTTTGAGGATTTGTCGCTGATGAATTGTTGTTCCACTCGCTGGCGGAGAGACTGGTTGGTATGACAATCAGTTTGATGCTAGGATCTTTCAGGCCGTCTGCTTTTCCCTTCTCTTGATTGACTAGGGCTTCCATTGCTTCGACATTGAGGTTGTCCGTGGCAAGGTTGGCGTGCATCAAGCGGGCAATCTTACATGCGTCCGAGTAACTGCTGCTTCCGATGCTGACTACACAATCTGCATTGCTCTCGTGTATTAATCTTGTTATATCCAGCACATCGTTGTATGGCGAATGTGCCCCAACACCGGACTTGGAGGCCACTGCAAAAAAACCCAGTTTCTCTTTCAGTTTCTCGATGACATGGGTGTTCTCGTCCAGGGCTTTGGAGTGTACTATGATCAATCGCTGGCAGTTCCATGTGCCAATTGCACTGACAATATCTTGGATGTAGTCTGAGTTCAATATCGCGTTGTGGCCTTTTCGAGCGGGAATGGGAAGTTGTTGGATTGTTTGCCTTTCGCGAAGGGAGCCTTGATTGATGGAGCTTGGCATTTTGTATTCCTTGTGCTGAGTACCTTTTTCTATCGATGTAACATATGTAGAGGTGTTTGCACCTAGTTATATTGTTACATATATAGCGGGGTGAATATGCTCTTGTAATGGTGTGCGGTGTGTTTGACGAAAGTCTTACCTCATACCTTTTTGGTCCCTCACTCAGGCCACGAGCACTGTACAACAATCAAGAACGAACTGTTGCGTAAGAATACTATTTTTAAGATGATCTTCAGAATCATCGGCGATTTTGAAGGATTACAACGTCCTACTCTCAGCCAGCGGCGATGTCTAGTGGTGGAGAGATGTTAAAGAACACGTGCTTTGTATTCACCTAATCGATTCGCCGCGAATCTTTCATCATTCTTCTGGGAGAATTCGTTGCAGGCTGCGTGGCCTCCCATCTTCTACAGATCTACAACGGCTGTCTTACACGGAACCTTTGGGTGCACGTACAGTAGGAGCGGTCGCAGGGATAGCTTTGTATGAATATGCAAGATGTACCGATTTGGGCTAACAAGCTGAAAAGAGAGGCCAGCGGAAACTACATGCAGGTTTATTTGGCAGCCACATAATCCAAGTATTTTTCCGGTTTGCCCAACCCTCAGCTCAGACATCAACAAGTGTCACTATGAGGGAATAGCATGATAGTCTGACCATGATTTCGGGGATCGAGATTCAGAAAGCGTTTTTTCTATCAAGTTTACCCTAGATAGAATGGCAGTCAAAATCAGTTGCTGGTGGGTGCAGTCGAGTTGGTGGGCTGAGGTAGCTGTGGTTATATGGATGAATCCAATGACGTCAGACAGCCCTCATATCGTGCGTAGCTTGAGGCGTATCATCGCCATGCACTGCTGCTGCCTTATGCTCAACCTTGAGTCATAAATCATTCTTGGCCGCCCGCACAAGCACTTCATTTATATGTCCCGGAGTCCTCGTGTCCAGTAATCTTGCCTTTTTCGGCATGTGAGTGCGAGTATGTATGTAGCAACTGAATCACCGACATTGGCCATGTACTCATTGTTGCTTTGTAGCCAATGTCTATTTTCACAAAGAAAACGCCGAGCTTAGACAGTGTGCGATCATGAAGGAGCTTAAAGGTATAAAGGAGTATCGAAAAGACAGCGAGTAAGCATGCGAGAGGGGCCATTGTGACAAAAGAGAGGGGTTAGCAGCAATGCAAACGTCCGAAAATGCAGCAGAGCTGTTTGGTGTCAGCGGGCTATCCAAGGACCTTACGACACAACGGAAATGAAGGTTTTGAATTCATGTTATATTTGGCGCGCCCTGTTGAAGAATGTGCGCAGGTATCTCGTATTATGCACTCATGTAGCCTGTCCTGTCCCTGTGTTTCTTTGGAATATTTACTCTTCAGTAAATGCGGCATACTCTTCCTTGCTCATGGTCTTGCCCTTGGGCTCCGCTGACACAGTGATCTTTGCGACCCAGGCATCGCCCTCGGGGTCCTTGTTCACGTTGCCTGGCGTGGTCTCCAATGCCTCATTGACTTCAGAAACAACACCAGCGATGGGGGTAAGAATGTCCGAAGCCGACTTTACAGACTCAACGGCGCCGATGACGTCGCCCTCAGCCACTTCCATGTCGACCTGTGGAAGCTCAATGTAGACAACGTCGCCGAGGGCTTTGGCTGCGTATTCTGAGATGCCTAGAGTGCCTGTGTCGCAACATGTCAGCGCACGCGACCCATTGTATACGTCTTTTGTGCAACAAGGCAGAAAAGATGTATGTTGGGGTTGGGGGTGCGGGGATTGCGGGGACATTGAAGCAAGTCAACGTACATGTCTTGCCATCAGCAGACAGCTCAATCCACTCATGGTCCTCGGTATATCTCTTCTCCTTGACTGTATGAACCGTCAGTCTGAAGTATAAAGACTTGAGACGTCTTGTTGCGACTCAATTACGGTGCGGGAGTAGCGTACGTGCGGCAGATACCGAGAATAGCCGTTGCTTTTGAGCAACCTGCTGCCACCTCTGACACACAATTGGCGAGGGCCTCTTTGCAGCCACAGAAGAGATTCGACGGGCGGCGAGGGAGATGGAGAGACGGGCGGCCATTTTTTCAGCGATTGTAGCGAGAGCAAGAAAAAATCGGGAGCTTCAGAGGTATATCAAGGGAAGCTTTGGCGGAATAGGCAAGATAGCAGCAGTAGGTCGGCCGCGCCAAGACCTAGTAAAAAAAGTGGAGCTCTTCCGTGGTTTGGCGGAAAGGTTGGCCGCTTTCGAACACTTTTTGCGACGGAGAGAGCGGGCATCCAGACTGACAAACACACGCGACCCGCGCGCAATCCGACGCCAGACATGCTGTACGAAATGATCGGAGTGGTACGACATAACTATTCGCATTGAGTTGCCCACAATATGTCAATGTGCTGACGAGTGCTTCAGGTACGGCCTGGCCGCCTCTCCGAAGTCAAAGAGTAAATCCCCACATACCGTGGACCTGCCCCTCGAAATACACTCTTGTCTGACCCGGCCTTTTATTTAGAATCGCCAAAACCGCTGGAAAAATCGTCCTCGATCAGCAAGGCGTTGTGCGCGGCGTCTCCAACTGGGGCACTTTTCTGCTCCCCAAGCCGGCCAAGAAGCTGCAATCGACACATCACTATGGCCACCACTTCATTATGCGCTTCGATGCCAGTGCCCGCGCTCAGCACGCCCTGCGCAGGACCATGAGTCTAGATCCGCGTCTTATCAGATACAGTGTAGTCAAGATGGGCACCAAGTTCGAAGAGATCAAGGATGTACCGGGCACAGCCAAGTTTAGGTGAGGGGCAGCAAGTAGAAAGACGCAGGATGTATCATACAACAGAGGAAATATGCATTTCAATATGGCGTTTTGGGTGGCATTCATGAAGAAGAACTGGGCTTGCTATCAAAGGTGGGGTTATCATAATCGCTGTGGTACCCATATATAACAATTACTATCTGAGACGAGCGAGCTACACAGCCTACAGGCTCTCATCGCGAATTCACAGCTTCCGTGCAATTTCTTCTTTTGGTTTCCTCGCTCTTCGCCTTTCCGCGCTTTCCCAGCAAGTCATCCAGCTCAGTAGCAAGCAGATTACAATCGTCTCTTTCAAGGCTTGAGATGAACGAAATGGCCTACAATACTGCTCATGCAACTGCTCCGGTGGCGCTAGAATTTCATCTCTTTACAGTTAGCAGTATGTGCGCCACAATGCACACATACGGACAGTCAGGCCTCCCCCAGCCAGGCCCATCCAGCCTTGCCGACCACGATATTGCCTCTTCCCTCCATCACTCTCTTTTCTGCCACAGCCATGTCGCCCGTCCCATGGGAGCAGGAAATCAATTTTGCCAGCGCATTGCTGCTGCACTCGTGCATAACCGTCTTTCTAAAAGAAATCAGCAATGGTACAGCCATCCTTTACCACATATTCATTCTTGCCAAAGACAAGGCTGCTATTGATACTTCTGTCATGCTTGACGGCTACACGTCTGTCTTCTCAAGAGATCAAGATGGCGAGCTGGCTGAGTTGTACTTTACAAACTCTGGGTTTGTCCTCTTAATATGCTCGCTTGCGTCCGCAATCACCATGAACCTAGCTCTTCCAACAGGAGTACTAAATGCACTGATTGCAGCTACCTTTGGCTTAACCTTCCTGGCATCTGCTGCAGTGGCATGCAAGAAGAAGAGTTTCGTCATGCCTATTATGGCTCTTCGGCGTGCAGGGCGATTCATCTGGTCAGACACGCCGTTTGTCAACTTCTTCTCATTGATTTACATTGCTGTAGTTTTGAAAGGGTCTTCGAGGCTTGCTTTGAAAGACTACGTCATCTTTCGATCCATTGCAATCCTGGAGCTTGTCTTTATGAAGGCTAGACTGGCAGCTGCAGACGCAGAGACGCAGCAGGTCATGTTGAAGCGTCTTGTAGATAGCGAATACGCTGTCATCAGCAGTGTAAGTAGGACCTACAATGTTTGATATCAGCCACCCAGCTTACTTGACATCAGAAATGCCTCTATGCGGCCCGTAGTCCGCCAAAGCCACTCGAGCACTCGCGTATTGTACCTTTTATGAGCTCCCAGCGCTTAATGGTTATGTTATACAAAACTGCAATAGGACATATAGAGGGTTCTGTTTGCGGGGCATCAGGCCCTGCTACGATGGCTATCCCAAAGTACCCGGGGTTCTTTAAAGACGAGGCTGCACAATACGGGTGGCGGGTCTACCGCGTGTCGCCCACTTACGTCTTCATTGAAGACTGCGGTCAGACAATGGTCACTGAGACAATGAAGAGGGCGCCAACCAAAGAACGAACAGGCATGGCAGCTCGTTATACCAAGTTCATCTCATGGAGCCACGGAGTACTGTTGCGCCGTCTTGGCAGGCGCCGGGTTGTTTGGCTGATGCAGACAGGACAAGATGAGCATGGAGCTGATTGCTGGAAAGGCAATATCAACCTTGTTACGGGGTTGAAGGAGAAATGGCTTAACGACAGAGGCAGATTTAGGCCCATGACCGGCGATGACGATGGAGACGCAAGAGTAAACATCGTATGGTAAAAATAGTCACCGGCTCGACGTACACACCAACCCTACAATCAGGTTCACTACACGCGAAATGCAAGAAGACCGCGCAAAAGCTGACCCTGTGTGCGAGCTAGTCGGCCAGAACACGGCAGTACATTAGTATTTACAAATTAAATTCTTATCTGTAGGGACTGGTCTCTCCCGTCAGCTAGAGATGCGGTGAAGGCAGCAACGATAGGAACCAGCGTCAGGCATTCTTTGTGCAAGGATGGGAGTGGGTAGGTGGCTAGCGCTTCCTTAAGTTAAGCTCTTGTCATCCATTCGACTTCTGACCATAATGTGCAGCGGGCAACCCCCACGGCGACTGTTGAACACGGTTGGATGGGGGTGGGGTGGGGTGGGGTGATGAGCATCAGCCTCAATCTCAGATGGTTTCCCATCGAGCTCTTCATCTCTCGCTCATCCACCAACCCGGATTCCAACTCAAAGAATGCACTCAAGAATGCAAGCGGCATAGCTAGCTTCTGGGATCAATTCAGCCTGTACCGACGCAGGCCGGATGACCACCCTGCTGGAATTCGGGATTCTAGTGGATAGTAAGCCGTGCTGCATCACCGACCGCACCCAACCCCCAACAGCCCAATGTCAATTCTGAACATATCGCCGCTCGATTAAACGCCTCGGCATCAGGACTCCAGTGCCATCACCTGGAATCAGATCCTCTGCTCATTCACATTTAGCCTATGGTTAAGTTCAGGGTCCTTGCATCTGCTCTCTGAGGCTGAAGGACATGATCGGTAGCGATTTAAATTTTTTAGCATGTGGGTCAGGATGGCGTGTTGTCAGATCCTCCGAGCCTCTTTCGGCAATGCACCCAGCATGGTGGTCCACCTCCGATCCTGCCATGAGTTAGCAAACGAAGAGGACTTGAAGCGTGGAACCAAGGAGAAAGAGGATTGGGTGAAGGAGTCAAGTCTCGCAACAAGACCCTATTCTGCCAACATTCCAGTCACTCACTCGGCTTGCACTCGGGCTTAAAACACATCATCGTCAATGACATTCAGGTCCGCCTTGCGTCTTTTTGCATTCTTTGGGGCCTAGCGCGCGGCACGGAACGTCTACTTAGTCTTATGCTCAAGAGATCCACCATTACGTACTACTAGGGCCGGCAATGCAGATCCACATCAGGCAACGAACGCCGATGTCATGTCAACGACTATCACCACCCGGCCTAGCACTAGACAGCTGGTTCGGAAAGGCGCATCCATGTACTACGGGTCTTGCATGTGCAAAGGAATGGGTAAATGCTGCTTGCAGCAGACAGTCTCTGGAAGGATTTTGTCTAGACCCTCACCCACAGCTCATCGTTTCTACAGGACGCAGCAACAATGTCTTAGCTACAGAAAAAGTGCGGTGTCATAACCTTCATTTGGCAACTGACATGTCAAACGAGAATAGCCTATGTATCCCACAGCTCATGCTTACGTGTAGGACTTTTGGCGTACTCGGAGCTGCCTACTATGACGAACTTCATGGCTTGCACGTTACACAATGAATGCGGGACGATCCTGGACAAGACGCGAGTATTGAACAAGTGATTCTTAGCAATAGGCCCCGCTTTTGGCATGCTTTTTGGCTAAGCATGCATACACAGGCGAACTGATCTTACGGCTCGGGCTAGTAGTCAGGATATACAGCCGATGGTCAAACTTACAGGTACTAGTCAGCCGACAAAGTTGCAACTACTGCGTCACGCTATGCTGGCGTGTCAACGATGTATACTATCTATTTCTTTTCTATCATTGAGTAATCCGTATTCAGGAATCAAGGGGGAAACCGAGTACACAAACAAACGAGGATCAACTCTGTGTGGTGGTCAAAGTCAAGCGTTAGACTTTCAGCCACCACGACGTTCCCACGGAAGCTTCTCCGCCCGCCATGTTCAAAGTTGGCTTACAGGCAAAATACAAACGAGCCAGGATCGTACCTAGACACCTTCACGTTGCTATTCGGGATACCGCGGGTTGCACAGCCTATGCTGACTGTACTGCTCGCTAAAAAAAAAGAGGAACGGATCTCGCCGGATCCTGTCGACCAAAAAAACGCCCAAGATGGAGATGCAGCACAGGGCGAGTAACCGCGAGCCTCACCGTATCCCGCTCACGCCCACCAACCATGTAGATCACTAGTCGTGGGCCTGTGACTACTGCAATTGCCAATAATGCAACCGCCACGGAAAGGTTGGGCGCGCGCATTCAAACGGTAAGACTCCTTTTCTCAGCCGGCAAAGGACGAGAGTATCCATGCAACTTCACTGGAAGATGCTCTGCCGTGTAGTCATTGACAAGTGTATAAAAAGAAGGCGTCTATCCTACATCTCTTGCTATCTTCACCCAGACAATCAACACATCTCTCATCTCAATACGAAAAAGAGTCTATCCCATCTCATCTCCCCTACTCGGCCAAAGCAAAACAATTGTCTTTTCTTCGAGATTTCCACTACTACGTAAAAATGAGCTTCTCCACCCTCCTCATCGCGGCCCTCTTCTCCAGTGCCATCGCCGCACCCCTAGCCGCACCCCTAGCCGCCTCGTCGAGCCTCGAAAACGGCGTGCCCCTCAGTATCTGGGGCGGCCAGAGCTGCAACAGCCAAGGCGTATCAGTCTCGTATATTCCCATAGATGGCACATGCTTCGGTACATCCCCCATCTTCAGTGGAAACACGGATTCATTCCAAATCACCGCGGATAACATTCCGGCTTTGCCTAGTGGATGCAAAGGTAAGTTTTCTCTTCTTTCTCTTCCTTTGATCACCTTTCCCCTTTTTTTTTGCTATCTCTTTTGCACTTGTTATTTTTTTGGTTCTTGTTTGATATACTAACAAAGTGATGAAATAGTTATTGCATACGACACCGACGGATGCCAAGGCAACCAGATTACCATCGACCAGGTTGGCGGCGATTGCAAGTCATTTGGTTCGTTTGCGCCGATTCGCTCGGCCCAGGCTGTTGGGTGCAACTAGACGAACACACGTTCTTCTACGAACAAAAAAAAGGCCGAGGTACTAGAAACAAAACGCGATGGTCGAAAAGTCATGTCTTGATGAAATAAAAAAACTCACAATAGTAGCAGTGGTAAAGGGGGAAGGAATGCGGTATATGAACGAAATAATGCGATTTAGAATAGTTTGAATGAGTAATGATTAGAACATTCCTTATATGCGCACCTCTTTGCTTTGGTGAAAATGTACGGGTATCGCTTCAACCTCCCCAGTGAGAACCCCCCCTTCCCCCTCTATGCCTCAAACCCTACAAAAAGGCAACCAAGCGAAAGAAGAACCATTTACACAAAATACATTTAAAAAAAGAACAAAGACACTCAATCCAACTTCCTACTACTCCTCTGCACAAGCGTCTCCTTCGACGACCCTTCTTCCTCACTCGTACTAACAATGTGAAACGAGAAATCCAGCTCACCCACGAGTCCCTTGACCGCCTTCAACAGCCGCTCTACCTCCATATCGATGCACCGCGTGCTAACAGCCATGACGGCAAACGCCGCATAACCCGGTTCGGTAATGTGTTTGAGGCTGAGGATCTCCGGGTCGACCATTTCGAGTTTGCGGGAGAGGTGGGCGCCGGGGGGTGCGCGGAGGTAAGGGGGAAGGGGCTGGGCGTTTGTGATGGAGGAGGAGAGCATGGCGAGTAAGGAGGTTGTTTCGTGGGATGTTACTTTTGCGTCGGAGATTACGCGGCGGAGGTCGTGGAACCACTGAGCTTTGCTGTTGGTGTCTTTGAGTTCCGGGTCGGAGGATTGCTGGGTTAGCGAGGGGTGGGTGAAGGCTTCGGATGTGTAGCCAAGGAGGGCTGTGTAGTTGACGATACTATTATGGTTGTCAGCTTCTAGTTTTTTCTTTGAGGAGAAGGCGCGATGCGTACTTCTCAACATGCGTGATAATCTTTTCGTATTCTTCCCTCGGGAACTTGCCCCCGAGTGGGAATTCCCACCTCACAAAACCAGCATGCATCTTCAATCCTTGGATAGTTAGCATCTGCTTGGCAAAGACCTTGTTTCGGGCTTTGACTAGCTGGTATCCTGGGCTGTCCTTTTTACTGTCTTCTTCGCCACCAAGTTCGCCTCGAATACGACCCATAACCTGCTCGTGCATGATGGAGAACAGATTTGCAGAGAGATACAGTGCACCACCAAGCTGCTGGCGGAGAACAGAGTGCTCGGTGATTGGGTAAGGAAATATTGTCCAGAAAAATGCTACTGCAACACCGGCAACGACGGTGGCCAGACGGTAAGGGCCTAGGATGTAGATGGCGTATGCAGGTTGGCCTGTCCCTGCTACGGCTGCTTGTTCGCCAATCTTGCGAACCTGGAGCTCGTAGCCGACAATCATAGTAGCAGTGACGACGCTAATAAGTCCAACAATGACCAAGTCTAAACGCTTAAGTAGAATGTAGAATCCAATCGCAACGAAAACCCAGAGGAAAACAAGTACGCCAGGCGTCTTCTGATCAGGAATGTACCAGATGAGCCACGCAAAAATCATTGCTACAGCTGTTCCGATAATGCGTAATAGAAACTGGAACATTGCTTGACCCGCAGTAGGTGTCATAGAGATGGCAACCATGATCAAAGACCATACTAAGCGTTGTTCGACGAAGAACCTTTGTGTCGGGCGCAGGAAGGCTATGATAGCTAAGCTCATCGTGGCACAAGCGGCACGGAACCCAAAAGATGATTCAGGACTGCGGAGAAAGGCCGGAATTCCGCGTAACCGGTCTCCAAATCTTTCCCATGCATTGGCGGGTGGTAGATGCTCTGGGTCCTTCTTTTTCTTGAATGCCTCTCCCATGTATACAGTAGTCTTGTTTCTATCGAACCCAGCGACTGTCGTCTCATCGTCCGAGTTTGCGTCTTGACTTTGGAAAATACTCTTCAGCCACTTCTTGAAACGTCGCCCGCCTGGCCAGATGAGCTTGTTCTTCATGGTCGCTTGGTCTTTACTGTCGGCGAATTTTACCAGTTCGAGCGTTGAGCGGCTTATCGAATGAAGCAGGAACATAATGTAGAGAAGCATGAAGAGCTGGCGTTGGTCTCGCTTCCTTGTCGTAATACTAGGAATAAGCTTCAGGGTCTCCTCATCAATAGCCGAGGGACATGTGAAGTAGTCGTCCCTAAGCTTGATTCCCTTTGTTTTGACCCAATGGTGGAGTGTAGACTCTTTCGTACTGAATAATGCATCAGCCTGCTTTTGAAGGTGATCAGCAAATCCAGCATCTCCCGGTTTGACAGAGTCTCCTTTTGCCTCCGCATCTTCTTGGTTCTTTCCTTTCTTTTTCGGGGGTTTCGTCAGCTGCAATCTCAAGAAAACATGGGAGAGACCATCATCAAGAGCTTGAAATATGTTGCTGAGCGGCTCGTGCGCAAACCTGAACATCTCATTCCATTCGTTTACAGTTTGCCTGCGAAGGGCCTCGTCATGCTCGTCTTCATGCCCATCCCAGTGGTTAATTTCCGCGCTGCGTTCGAAAAGATCTATGATTGAGGTTAAGCCCAAGACCGGTAGCAAGATTGATCTAAGGTTTTTGAACATGACTTCCAAGTCGTCGGGCGACATCTTTCCAAATGCAACCTCTCGCTTTGCAAATGGGAGGTCTGCAGAAAGCTTTCCGTGCAGTTCCTGCAGTCCTATCGTCATCTTCTTGACAGCCTCAATTTCTGGCTTCACCTTTGATTTTGCTTCTTTCTTCTTTTTGTCTCCTGTATCTGGCACATAGCTCTGCGCAAACATATCGCTAGTTTCCAGACTGTTGAAATAGGCCTTGTGAGCACCTAGGGCGCCCTTGAGCAATCCAATATACCCTGCGAACTCTTTCATCACGACTTTCCGCGACGTGACAGGCACAACGAATAAGCTTACGCCTGTCGCGATCGCAAATCCTGTCATGAACGTTTCCAACAGCCTCCGTACGAACGTTTGGCACTGCGGTACCGTCTGGAACAAGAAGCCATTAGTTGCCGCAACGTTAACAAATATGGCGTATATTATCGTAGGAAAGGCAAGTTGTGGGAACTTGGCTTTCATAGTATTGACCACGTATATTTGGAAGAACAGCCAGACTGCGAGAACAGCAGACTGAGAGGAATTGTATGCTTGTGGAGGTACGGCAGGATCTGTCGTGTGCTGTCGCGCCTTCACACCAGTCCAGACCATAAGCATTGCAAGGGCAGCTCCGATACAACTAGCGAGTATGTTCATAGTCATAGTTTGGATGAACTTTGCGCGCGGCATGATGCAGAAACCAAGAATGGACACAATGGCCGTGAGGTATCCCAATGTCGTGTATGTTTGCGCAACATCGGTTGCTTGATACATGGAGAGCGCAATAGTCGGCGGTAGCGCTGCTTTCCCCATCATCAGAAGAGTTGGAAGGTCCAGTCCTAGTTTCCCCCATGCTGCTTTCAATCTCGATGGTTTCTTCTCTTTCTTCTTCTCATTCTCTTCTGTTGAAGACACATTCTGTTGATAACCAGTAGGTTGTTCCGGCTCCGCACTGGGTGTCGCACTGGGTGTCGATCTTGGAGTCGTGTTAGAATCCGCTTCATCTCGTTCATCAGTATTCCTTTTTGTCGCCGAAGATGCCATCGTAACGGCAAGGACCCAAGTGTGTCTCACAAGCCTACACGTCAGAAGGTGGAGAGAATGCAAAGAGAAGAAGAGACATTAAGGCCATTGTCGGACGAAGACGGGCAACAAGGGTGAATTCTTCAATCAAATTTCATGGAATATCCGACTGTCCGTCAGGAAGTCCCTGTCGGCAGCTTGGAAGGTCCGAGTCACGTCATAGTATGCTTTGCAATTGGTCAAGCATTATGCCAAGAGAGACTTACAACTTAGCGCACGCCCCCTATGCCTACGCCAGAGCCATTCGGCCCGCAGATCTGCTTTCGGTACGACTCAGGTCCGTGTGAACTGGATGTCAGCCAGTTCTTCAGCCAAACATAGTCATCAACAACTGCTGATCAAAAGTCTTGGTCACTAGATGCTTACGTTCTCGAGATAACCGAAAACTTTGTCACATTGGCGATGGAATTGACAGTCGAAGTGGTGAACCTGTATTACAAAGGGGCCGAGAACTTTTTGGTACCAAAATAGTAACGTTGCCATTAACCGGCTACGGGCCCTTGCAGGATAGTAGTCCTTTAATACACAGAACGTTTCTCATCGTTCATCGTGCATAAACCCGTATAGATTATCTTATCACGATTGAAAGACTGGGTATCACCAAGGAAAGGTAGTACTTGTTCATTAAAATGCGAAAACGAGGATTTTGAGCTGCTACAGAAACTTAACAGCTATGATACAGTTTTTCAAACGACAATGCGCTCGAAGCTGTACTTTGGCACCTTTTTACTGATGAGCATGCCCATCTCCCGCTTACTACGCTGCTCCTTCTTGCCGCCTTTACTATTCTTCATCTTTTCTACACCCTGGTCTGCCTTTGCCCCGAGTGGCAACATGGGCAAATCCTCCTCTCCATTCAGTTTACCTGTAACTCCAAACGGCTTGCCCTGCATCTCCAAAGTCTGAATGGAAGGCTTATTTGAAGCAGGCACGGTAGATGCGTAGCGTAGGAACTCAGATAGTAGCCCACGAATGAAGTGCGCTTCAAAGAAACCACTAAGAGCGACGGATGCGTCCTTGTTCAATGATTTGAGCATGTCGTCACCATTTTCACATCCAGAAGTTGAACCCACCGACGCGAGCCAAGCTCCGGCGCCAATGGCATCAAGCGTGCTCGAAAGTAGGGAAGCAATAATAGAAACAGCATGATCATCCGGATCCTCTCCAGAATTGTCAGCACCAGCGGTTTCGAAATCAACGAAGCCCAATGGTGATGACCATCCTCCATTCTTCAACTCAAGATGTAAGAGGCGAATGAGTGATTCAAGGTCCCGCCGTGGAAGCATGGACCGAAGTGTTGAACTGATGATCGAGGCAGGGAAAGTGTGTAGTCGAATGAGTGCAGGTCGCAAGGTGTGACTCCGAGTCAGGAGACCGTGGTCGAGAACTGACAGGGCGTGATCGATTTCATGCGATGCTGCCTCTAACTCGGAGGTGATATCGACATCCATTTCAGCTTCGGGTGGAGCAGTGCCATTAGTCAATAGCTTCGTTTCTTGAGCTTGTTCCGGCTCGTCATCTATA